TTCAGTACTTTAGCTCGTATGCCATCAGGACCACCGTGGGTTTTTTTTCTTTTTTCATTTGTTTAATTGCTTTGCAGACCTCCTCAGATGTTGGTGGGCTGGCAAGAGTTTCACAGATTGGGTGCTGAGGGATAGAGTCAATGGCATCAGTTACAGTCGATTCTCAATTTAGAAGCTTTTGATGCTGTTCCTTCCAGCAGTCTTTGATGGATTTGTTATCTTTAAGAAGGGCACTACCATCTTTGGATCTCAGAGGTGTGAGCCCACATGAGCTTGGTCCATACAGGGTCTTTGTCTCACAAAAAAAAACTCTGCATATCATGTCTGTCAGCAAATGTTTGGATTTCTTTTGCTTTGTCCTTCCACCATTTGTTTTTGATTTCTCAGATCCGCCTTTGAACTTCAGCTTTGAGCTGATGGAAAGTGCTCTGCTTCTGACTGGATAGTGGTTGGTTTTGCCAGTCGCAGAAAGCTTTTCTCTTCTGGTCCAAAAGGGCTGTAATCTCAATGTTGTTGTTGTCAAACCAGTCTTGATGGCAATGGGTAGCAAAGCCAATGGATTCCTCACAAACCTCAATGATGGTCTATTTTAGGGCTTCCGAGTCTTCTTCAACACTTGTGTTGTCATTTCCAGGTGTGCATATGGCCAGTTTTTCACTGAAGAGTGTTTGGAAGTTCTCTTGGTGTACTGAGGATTGAAGTCTTTGGATGTTGTATTGCCATCTGTGTGATTTGGATTGCTTTCTATGTTTCGGTACAATCCTGATGGACATGACTGACCTCACCAGGGAGTGGTCAGTCCCAGTAATCATCGTCTCCTCTCATGACACAGGTGATTTGGACATCTCTTATATCCTGTGTTCTTGCAATGACATAATCTAGGAGGTGCCACTGTTTTGAGTGGGGGTGTTGCCAAGTTGTTTTGTATTTGTTTCTTTGTCTGAGGATTGTGTTTGTGATCACAAGATCGTGCTCTGCACATTTGCTGAATAGAAGGATGCCATTGGAATTGGTCTTATCCACTCCTTCCTTCCCAATGGTTCTACGTCATACGTTAGAATCTTGGCCAATTCTTGCATTAAAGTTCCCTAAGAGGATTTCTTACACAGTATTTCACCAGCAAAGAACTGTGTTTAGAATGAGAAACAATTACAAGACTTTGGCTTGGATTAAATCTAATCTGGAGTTTCTATTCCCCCACCCCCCACTTTCTTTCTTTCTTGCCAAGTATGGTGCCTTTAACTACATTTAAGGATGTTTCTTGAAGGGAATAATTTACTTACTAAAAATGGTTTAATACATAAACTCTGCTGAGTTTTTAACTCTGCCTCTGGGCTTTCATAATGTATAGGAACACTGCACCAACTGCATGTAAGCTTCCTGAACGGGGTGAAAGAATTTTGGAATTCTGTGTGATGCAAAAGCTCTGATGAAAGCTTGCTAAAGATTGTGGTTAACATAGCATGGATATCAACTTCAGATATGAAACCCATAAACATAGGTATTCTCAATCATACAAAGATGGGAGGAAGAGGACCAAGTGGTGCCTTTCCACATGTTTCTAAGAATAAGCACATGGCTATAAACTCAGATCTTTTAAGTTTTGGGCTCACATCTGCCACTAACTAGCTTTAACAAACATTGTGAACCTCTACACACTTCACAAACATTTACTTTGTAAACTAAACTCAAATCCTTATCCTCCTTCAGCTATTGACTGCCTTTGACACCAGACAACCACACTCTTCTTGATTACTCATCTTCCCTTGGTTTTCATGACTCTTTCCTCTCCTGGTTCTCCTACTTCTCAAATCATTCCATGTTTCCTTCAGAGGATCCTCTTAATCCACAGTCCAATATTCAGTGGTGGGGTCCAACAGGGCTCCATCCTGGCCCCCCTCGTCTCCCTTTACACAATCTGTCTTGGTGACCTCATTCAAAAACATGTCTTTAACAACAATCTTTACACTGATGACTCACAGCTCCATTCTGGAGCCACTTTTATTCAAACTAAAATCTCAGCCTGAATTTGATTTCTCCTTGTGATGTCCTGCTGTTAGCTTAAAACTCAGCGTAGACAAAACTTAATTCCTCGATCTTTTCCCTTAAGCCCTCTCCCTTCCTCTCATTTTTGATTACCACAGACATCACCACCATCTTCCTTGGCCATAAATCGATCTTCAGCTCAGCTCTCTCTCTAATCCCATACATCCAAGCCATGTCCAAATCTTGCCACTTCTGCCTATACAACATCTCTAATATTCAGCCTTTCTGCTCTATCCACACTGTTGCAACTTTCATCCAGGCCTTCATTATCTTGCTCCTCAGCTACTGAAACCTCCTCCCTTCCTGGCCTTAACAACAGCATATCTTGCACTCAAGGGAGCATTCAAAATGCTGCTGCAATTATCTTCTGGCTCATTGTTTCAATCACTTCACTTCCTCCTTTTTGTCCCTCCAATGACTCCCTCTTTTCCACCATAATCACAAACTGTGTGTCATCCCTCATGGCTTAGCCGAGTTCTACATA